ATAATCGAATTACAAAAATCTTGTCCCACTTGGATAAGCAGAATGTCCCAGGCTTTACCAATATGTTGAACCGTGCCAGGAACAACCTCCCATGGCATCGACATTAACGATCTAAAGTACAAAATTTTCTCTATACTCAAACATCACGTGATTGGATTTGCGATATCCCTCTACGTCCAGCATTACCAAGAACAAGTAATTTTACATCTCATCCAGATGTCAGTTTCTTTGAGACCTTATCAAGTCACCCACCAAATTCTTTTCCATCGTAAAACTCAATCGGCCTCCACTCGAACAACTGCTTCCGTACCCCAATTCCTCCGCATTAGACACCCGAGACTGTATAACTCTCTGTCCTTGCCTCGCCGCTGCCCAACCCCTTGCCATTGGGGCCAAATATACGATAAAGAGCCCGGGATGGAGCATTGACGCTCTATTCTTTACAAAATGCTCTGGTTAATGTGCTAGCGAAATCCGGCATCTGTTTTGTCTTCGGCGATTCGCCGCAGGCCGACTTCATGGTGCCCTTAGGCGTTGTGCGTAGTATCCAAGACAAGCTCTTCAGCCGCACTCACAGCACGCGGTGGTTATAGGAAGGTTACTGAGCCTCCTGTAACGCTTATGGTGATTTGCATTTCTAATTTTTGGAGAGCTTTGGTGGATATTTAAACGTTTGTGATGAGCATCGCAAGGTGATTTAGGCTATGAAAAATATTCTAGGATAAATCAAGATAGTTGAGCGTTTTAAATTTCGTAGTTAGAGCCACAGATAACTCTTCGCCCATCTTAGCACCACATTCGGGGTATAGATGATGGAAGTCAATTATTTATACAGTTCTGAAATCTTTCAAGTCGGAATTCCAACTTGAAATAAGTCAATGTGATTTATCTAGATTTCCGTTTTCTCCTCCATGTAAGCTTTCAAATTTATCCTACTTAGTGACTGAGCCTCGGCGTGTGGAGAAGATTCCACTCCCAGAATATTAGAGGATACCACCTGTTGGTGGTACCAGCCTTCATCTTCAGAGCTACATCGGGTTGGCTATCAACAAGTAAACAAGGCTCATTCCTTAGGGCAGAAACTGAGCGCCTTTCCATGGTGTTCTCTACGAACCTGGCAAGATAGTCCACTCCCTGTGTCTTGATGAACACTGCGGACTTGTGTTCTGTCTCTGACCTCCACCCACCCTGCTGACTGTTTAGCAAACTGTTAGAAATGGAGATGCGCAGTGTTGTGGACATACATGCCCTCCATTTCGTCTAGGTTTCTGACACGATCTTGTGACTAATTAAGAGGTTGGAATTAGTAATATGGTAGCACTTCAGGCTACCTAATGGATACATGAGCGGCTCTATATCAGTTACACTTGTACTTACAGCGCACATCTCCCACTCTTTTACTTACAATCCGAACATGACACTCTTATAACCAACTTCTTCTTTCATTTCAGAAGAGTTGGGTCCATTTAATTTCGCCATGTTTCCAACACACACTGTAATGTCTACTTGTAGTCGGAAATTGGTAAAATTTCTCCCACCCGATCTTTCCCATTGTTTCCATAGCTCTAGGCAGGGCGACTACCTCTATCTTTCTCTACGGTTGCATGGCAAGCCGATATTCTGAAAGTTTTCAGTTTATTATTATCATTATTGTCAGCCATGGTATATTTTATATAGTCATAGCAACCTATTCTTGGATAACATGTAAATATTGAGTTTTAGATGCTAGAAATTCATGTCGTAAACGACAAGATTCTGAAGCAAGAACTCAAATTTGCGAATAATTACTTGCTACGTACATATTCCTTTGGCTTAAGATTTTTGGTTTCTGCTTCACATTTCTCTATCGGCTAAATTGAGGGAGAAAGAATAATTTGGCGTGGAAATCTGTTTACCCTTGTAGTTCTATTGCCTCTCTAATCCGAAGTAGCATTCTTGCATTTAAACTACTGTTCATGGATTGGTTCCTAAAATTATCCTCTACTTCAAACGATAGTCTAGCCAAGACCAATGAATCGGTTCGCTTTAGACATTGGTACACGTAGATTGACCTGATACTTATTTCAGTGTGGTTAAAGCTTCGGAGCATTAGAGCGTTTAACTTTTCAAGCAGCTTTGGATATTTTTCAGACAGCCAATATCAGACTCAGTGATTCTAGTAATAATTAGTTTTCCATTTTATGACGCGATATAACTTTTTACCGGTCGCCTATAACTAGTTTCCAACGGGCCTCGTGCCCTTTCCATTGACCCCCGCTAATATCTCCGGGCCAACGCGATTGACTCTTTGTAATCTGAAAACATCGCGGGTGTCTTAGATGGGTACAGATGCACGACAATATATCCCTCTCGACGTCTCTAAAAAAATATCCGTCGGGGATGGCGGTCGATCCCAGACTTTTGGTAGGAGTGCATCCAGATGCGCGCGCCATTAGATCTTCTGCCTCGACACCATCCTTACGATCTCGAGACGGGATTCTCGCATCGCAAAGGATGGATGGACCTGGAGGTGGAAATGTGAGAGTTGTTGTCAGAGTTCGAGAGTTTCTACCTCGAGGTATTATTTATCAACTAATTCCGTAACTTTGTCAGGAATCTAACTCATTTTGGCAGAGATCGAGAAAGGAGCAAAGTGCTTGATTTCGATGAATCCTGCAACGCAAGTGACGACACTTCACGTTCCCGACAGTTCAAACTATTCTACCTTACCTCATAATACGCGTAAAGTCATTACTGAAAAGACTTTTGCTTTTGATAACTCCTTCTGGAGTCATAACAAAGAAGACAGCCATTACGCTCACCAATCTGATGTTTATAATGCTTTAGGAGAGGATTTTTTGGACCATAACTTCGAAGGATATCATACCTGTATATTTGCGTATGGGCAAACAGGTTCCGGAAAAAGCTACACTATGATGGGAACGCCAAATCAACCGGGTCTCATACCTAGAACGTGTGAAGATTTATTCGAACGCATTGAGGCCGCACAGATAGAAACACCGAATATTTCTTACAACGTTCGTGTCTCTTTTTTCGAAGTATACAACGAACATGTCCGCGATCTTCTTGTCACTCCACGAGCCAATAGCGGACCTTTTTACCTAAAAATTAGAGAATCACCATCAGAAGGTCCTTATATAGTGGATCTCACCGACGCTCCCGTGAGAAATATCAAAGATATTATGAAATACATAAAGACAGGCGATAGAAATAGGACGGTAGCATCTACAAAGATGAACGACACGAGTAGTAGAAGTCATGCAGTATTTACAATCATGCTCAAGCAAATACATCATGATATGGAGAAGGACGAGACAACCGAACGTGTAGCGCGCATTCGATTAGTAGATTTAGCTGGGAGCGAGCGGGCAAAATCGACTGAAGCAACTGGGGCGCGTCTACGTGAGGGAAGTAACATAAACAAATCACTCTCAGCGCTCGGACGAGTCATCGCTTCTCTTGCAGACCCCCGAAAAAATCCTAGCCGGAAGAAAGGCAAGGATGTTGTACCATACAGAGATTCCATATTAACCTGGCTCCTAAAAGATTCACTAGGAGGAAATAGTAAGACAGCAATGATTGCGTGCATCTCTCCCTCCGACTACGACGAGACCCTATCAACACTCCGCTACGCTAATCAAGCTAAAAGAATACGCACCCGTGCCATTATAAATCAAGATCATATCTCAGCGGCTGAGCGTGATGCCCAAATTGCTGCCATGGCCGAAGAAATAAGAGTTCTGCAGCTAAGTATTTCGGAAAGCAGAAGACGAGAGGAAGAGGGCGTTGAGAAGGAGGATGAAGTGGAAAAGTGGCAGGCTAAAGTATCTTTCATGCAACGAGCTATGGAGGAAAAAGATATGGTACAAAGTGGAAAGATCCGAAGTCTGCAGACGGAGAACGAAGCATTAAGGTTACACCTCAAGCTTCTTCTCGATCATCATAGGAATCCAATTGAGATTTATGGAAACCAACTGGAGAGTTCATGCAACCCTGCTGAAGAATATACCGCAGACCCTGAATGTCATCAGACAAGCGATGAGAGAGCTAGATATTCCGAGTTCGTCGACGGCGAAATAAGCGATGAGCCTATCGATGTCTCATCTCACGAGGAAAAAGCGGATGAGACCCAGTTGTACATGCAAGAATTACTCGCGGATTTGAACATGTTTAAAAAGAAAGTGTTTGATGATAAGAAGAGATTCATGCATTCTCAAGGGAGGAGGGTTGACCCACTTTAGTATTTCACAATGGTGAGAGGTTTGGATAGACCTGGCGTTTTCTATATCGGATAATTTGGAGCGAAGGTCATGGACGGCATGTTGAGATGAGGGACATAATTCATAATGACGTTTGACGACAACCTTGGCTTGAAGCCATCAAAAGCGTTGGTGTTTGGGATGGTAAAACAGTACAACTGTCGAAATTTTGCAGGGATTCGAGTTTCGCGTCCCGTGAGCGGCGATAATAAATTAATTAGTCTTCTAAATTTGGATTTCTGCCTATTATTTTTGGCTTGACTGCAGTGATAGAAAATGCCGTACCTACACCATGACGCAATCCGACAGGAGACATTTCGTTCGATCCAAAACCCGTTACCATTTCAACGATAATCTCTCGAGACGAGATCAGCAGAGCCCTATTGATCACTCATGCCAATGTTCCATGCAGCCAATCATTCTAATTCATAGGCATAACATCTCCCGAGTCTAACGTAAAGTTCCAGACCGACTTCGTAGTGAAACCAGACCAGCGTAAGATTGACCAGCCGACTTCTACCTTGGCCAAGTTTCACCAATGTAAAGCCGCAGTACCACCTCCATCAGCCCCATGTGCCTAGCGTTGTCTCTTTTCCAAACATCTATCCGTACATTGGATTGGCATTATTTCATGCCGAAAGTATTTTGATTGCCAGCCTATATTATCTCTGAAAGATCCTCGTATCTCATATTATCATCATTCCAATCCAATCCAATCCAATCTCATCTCTACTTCTCAACATGGCTTTACATACAATTCAAGTACCAAGACTCGCATCAGCTATATCCGGAATGTCTGATTTTGGGACTGAACAACGAGACGACGCGAAAAAGGCTATGCTCAAAGCTATGCGTCCGCTGCCCACCCAGCATTACTGGAACATATATTTTGATCGGTAAGATAACTTGGTTAAAGACTCAGTTGCGTTTTCTGACAGTATATAAAATAGTCAGCAGAGAGAGCAAGTTGATCCAAGCAACATTACATATACAGTCGCACTTGATCGACTAGGCTCGCAGATAGAGTCGGTACAAGACTTTTGGAGGTACAACAACAACACACCCGTGGAACAGATCAAGATGCGAGAATCGATTTATCTCTTTAAGCAAGGATTTCAGCCTATTTGGGAGGACCGAAGGAACATCAACGGTGGTAGCTGGACCTTCCGTGTACCCAAGGCAAATGGCCCGGAATTTTGGACTAGAGTGCAATTGATGGCGATTGGAGAGAAACTACAGAGCTGTCTTGAACCAGGTATGTCTCGAAATTATCCCACAAGATATTTTTGAACACAAGCTCATTATGAATGCAGATGACCAACTTTGTGGTGTCGGCCTCTCGGTGCGCTTCAACTCGCACCTTATTTCCATTTGGCACCGTGATACCTCGAAACGAAACTCTATTGACGCAATGTTGCGACTGGTCCTGGAAGAACTACCTTCAGAATTACAACCAAAGCCAGATAATTACTTTTACAAGAAACACTCAGATCATGCCGGCTTCAAGGCGCCCATGAAGCCAGCTGTGGCACCCATGCAGCCCAGAATACAGACATCGGTTATGTGATTCGTTTTGTTTTCGGAGCTCGAGGTAGTTTGGATACTGGGTGCGCACAGGTTGACATCTTTCTGAAACTTAGGGGTTGACATTGAGTAAAAAAGGCGTTTTAACGAATATTTAGGCAGTCACATACCAGATAAGACGAAGAGGGGCAATATTAGAAATAAAATATGCAGGTCACTAGTTAGCCCTAATTTCCTTTTGACAGTGAGGAAATAGATGAATAAATGCGTCATGAAATATATGCAGATAACTACACAGCAATTAATTGTTTCCTATGTTACCGCCACACCCCAGCCCTTCGCATCACACTCTCAAACTCTCCCTTGTCCACACCTCTGTTGACGCCAGCCCCTCCATTAGCCTCCAACAGCATATCCCTCAAAACTTCATCTGTAACCTCCTGGCCTAATCTTTCGGCGACTTCCCTCAAAGTTGCCAGGGTAATTCGTTCCTCGTGATTTTTGTCGAATAAATCCCAGGCCTCATCCACCTCCCGCTGGTGGTCCTCACCAGTGCGCATTCTTGACTGCATTTTTAGGGCACAAATAGCTACAAACGGTTCATACTCGACAAACCCTTCAGAGTCTGGATCAAGAATGGATAGATACTCTTGCAGCTCGGCTGAGGTTGGCGTTAGGGAAAGGGCAATTAAGACCCGACGAACATCGGCAACGGGCAAGACCCCATCAGTAGGGCCGGTGACTTTTTGGTGAGAGGAGTTTTGATGCGGTATAGCGAAGAGTGTAAAGGCGGCTTGAATTTCCTGTTCTTCGGCGGCACTTAAATTATTTTCGCGGGCAAGTTTGGAGGGCCGGGCGGTAGAGGCTGCCGGTGAGCGGCGCCGTCGTTTGGCTGGCTGTTGCGTAGAAGCGTGAGTCACTATCGAGGATTGCGACGACGAAGGAGAAGAGGGATAACTAGCTTACCATTTCAGTAATCTAGTATACTGTTGGGTTCTAGGCGAAGGCGAGTGCGGCTTCGGCCTCACTGGGCGCAGGCGATGGTCTAATGGCATTAGATCATAATATGTCTCATGAGTTTGAGGGCGGTCTCCACTGTCGCCGCGCGCGCGCTAGACTTCCACCAGCTCGCATCACTTACAAATAGCGATATGCACAGTTAGGTCTCTACTCATGCCCTACTGCTGTAGCTACGACTGTTGCCGAACACCGTTGATTTTGAGATCTACTGAAAATGAAACTCCAAAAGTCCATGCATTCCCATATCCTCCAGCCGCACGGCAAAGTACAATGGGCTTGCCACCTTAGCTCTCGTCTTCCCAAGTCTACAAGGATCTTGATTAAGATACAAAAGTGAGTCGACGAGATGTTTGCACGCCCGACCAGACTCGAAGTTCCAATCGGAGACAGATTGAGTCATGACATGGGCGACATCTAGACCTCGACATTCTAGAGTCAAGCTGATTAATCGCGTGTAGACAAGTCTCTGGCCCCGTTACCATTAGCACGCGAGTGAGACAAGGCCCAAACCATAGTTATCTGCAGAGAATACTTCGGACTTATCGGCTGTCACTCTGAGCGGCGTGCACTGCTCACACGATGACAGAATCAGATGAATCGAAACACTAATCCTGGAACATTGCTCAATGTAGATGAAAAGACTTAGATGCGAGCACACCGCGATTAATTCAAAGGCAAACGTATCAGCGTTTTTGCCTAGGGGACTCTCCCTCCTGTTCATTGAAGATATCAAATTTCCCTCTCTAGTGAGCTCAGGCAGAGGAAGAATCCATACCTTTGCCCCTCTTCATGCGCACAGAGCCTCCGTGCAAGCAGTTACTGCCTTTAGCGCCGGCACAGACGAATTCTTCACCTTCCAGTGGTGCTGGTGTAATCGCTCAATATGCTCTGCATAGCTGGCATAGCCAAGAAGAATCGCATCCGAATCGAAGTCGAAAGCAAACACATGCATATCTCCATTTGACGACTTCTCGACAATGCCTCTCTAACCATACTCATCTGAGTCTTCAACCTCTCTTTAACCACGCATCATCTCGCCTCGACGACCAATAAAGAAATCGCTCCAATTGCATACAGGAGCTTGCCCCATTAATCTTCAGCCATCTCTCACTATATATTTACGACGCTATTTATAGCCGCAAAGAGGAAATAAAGTCGAAAAATACAAAGCCTGGGTCTTGGCTTATGGTGGACTGTTGCTCTAATGGGACAAACAACTTGAGGGAGAACAGGCGCCTGAGATGTGGAGCGAGAGGGGGAATAGGTCTCTGGAGACCATGCTGGGACTGACATTTTCGAGGAGTTTTCAACTTTGGATTTTTTGTGGGCGCCAAGACTGAGATTTCAGCTAATTAGCCAGGAGTGCTTCTTTTGTCGATGAGTCAACGGCGCTCCCCAGCGCCCTGGATAGCACAAAAGAAGTTGGGCTAAGCTACCATACAGCAATCACGCTCTGTCAAGAATTTTCTGACGTTCCATCACGACCTTCGGGAAGGAGTTGGAAGGAGGCTAGAACGGCAGAGGGTGAATTTCCCGAGGTACCCACAAGTCTGCAGCGCTCAGCTGGCCGGCTTCTTCGAAAGCTTCAGAAAGATCACTATGTCTTTGGATTTAGTCCCAATGTTGGTACTAGATGAGCCCCACACCCGGTGGTATTTGCAATTTTCCCCGGCTGCCATACACCCGCAAACGGCCATCGATTCGTTGGCTGGAGAGGAGAGATAGTGAAGGGCAAAGGGCTAATCTTGTTGTATGATCGAATGAGGGCTTGTAAGGGGTGTTACTGTTTGAGGAGCGCTGAATGGGAGACATAGGAGGGGATGTGATACTAGCATAGGTATTTTCGGCCTGTAGATAGAGAGGACCTGCATATCCTACATAGTCATAGACTCAGACAGGACAATAAAAAGAATCAAACTACCTTTAGCTTTTTCAAATACGAACTAAGATAGTTGAGGTTAGGCGTGAGAAGTCCTGAAGCTTTGGTATGACATCTTGCTCTGTAATGGAAGATCAGGGCGCCTGAATGGTGGAATATATAGTAACAGTTGATATATCTTTAATGCCCGGATCTGGTCACATTGAGATGGTAGGTCAGTGTGCGTCGTGTCTGGAAACTATTTTGGCAACTGGCGATGTAATGGCCCAGGACGTGGTGAAGCGTTGAAAAACTTTAGTAGCACTGTACCCAAACTTGGAGCTCGACTAGCACTTTAAATTTTAAAAGCACTTTAGTGCCCGGTTTTTGATGAAAGTCTAAGGGGCGAAACCCAACACCTATCAGTGATGTCTCCTACAAACCGTCAGCTCTCACTGTAGTGTCAGCAGCGCCGAGACTGAATAACACCTTTTCAACTTTCAGCTGATTCATCTCCCCTGCCTCAAGTATACGCTTCCGTCAACGCACAAGACCACGAAGACGACGATATGATGCTGAGAATGAGGAAAGATATGCAGAACCAGACGCTACAACGGTAGTCAGAGAAGCCCTCGTTCTATCACAACATGTGCCACCCACCGCCGGGCAAACAAAAAGCCCACGAAAACAAAGCAAAAGGCTCTTCCGCCTTCAAGGAAAGCAGGTTTTGCCTCGTCAAAAATATCGCTCCGCTAATCTTTACTCCCGTATTTACTAGCCAGGAGGGCATCTGAAACATGAGAGACCCGACGACTCCAGGTCCGTGACGACTTTTAGATGCTAGGCTAGCCTCCTGACGGCAGCCACTCTCGACCAAGACTTTTCCGACATCCTTTCACGACCGTCGCTTTGTCCGGCGGCATGAACTAGGGGGGGAGGAAGGCTGAGAGACGCTCCTAGCGACGCACAGTTAGGAGTACAATACCCGAGGCATAGGTACTCTCGGCCTGTAGGCAGAGAGGACATACACGGCCCTTTGTAGTCATAGGCTAAATACGAAAATAGAGACAAAAGATGAAAATATTTTCCTGCTAGGCCCGTCAGTATTCATTCATTTCTCTAGTTTAACGTCCTATGAAGTATCTATATACAGAACTATAAAGACGGTAAGTGTCAGGTGCAGATTCATCTGGCGCAAGACTGGAGGCGTAGGAGAGGGCGTGGCTTACGAGGTACTAAGGAAGGACGCCTCATGGAATCGCGGAAGGCTTTCTTGAGAAGTGGCCAAGAGGAACGCAGGGAGGCGTTCTAGATGAAGTGGCCGGAGGTGACAGTTGGTCACTATGGTTGGCAGAGGACGAGAGTGAGATGTGATTAGAATCATGTAACTATTCCTAAAGACAGAAGAAAAAGCGTGAAGATCTCGGTTTCAGAAATGAAAACTACATAACTGTCCTCGCTAGGTAATAAAGCCTAGTGGGAATCCGAGGCATGAGTACTCTTCTTGAATATTGAGTCATCTTTTCTGTGCTTTTCTTTGATATTATGTAAGAGCTAGATTGCTGCATACGCAATTAAAATCTGATGCAAAAAAAACAAGCCTAGTGGGGCTAGACAAGGAACCTATAAATCCTGCCTAAGGCATTTATCAAGAATCCTTACAGTAAGCCATATCGAAAAGGGAAGAAGCTTTCAAGCAACAAAACTCATAATTCCGCTGTGACAGCACGGCCCAGCTTGATGCTGAGGTTGTACCTTTGTACCATTCAGATTTATTTCATCCCAAATGTTAACTCTACCGCCCCGATCTCTACCCAGCTGAAGTTTGGAACAGTTCTTTCACAATCCTTCTTTCCTCCTTTCGATGACGGAACCGTTGGAGCTGCAAGTGTCATAGCCGTTAATGTATTTAATACCGCCGTTGAATCTGCGACTACCTTTCGGGGACGTCCTGATCCTCTCTTTTGGGGTTCAACCTTGCGATTAATGACTAGTGAGAATCCTTGATCATCAGTGGACGTCAATGCTGTTTGCGACGCAATTATGGGACTAGTTTCCCATCGAATTTCCGCCGTTCGTTCCAGAAGCTCGAAGCGGGCTTTCTGAACACTCCCCTCGAAGACTTGAAATATCCGACACGATGCTCTCTGCCACGAACGATGTTCCTTGCCACTTTTGACGCAAGAAACTCTTTTCCTGGGACAGTCCCTGGTTTTGTGAGCACCTGCTCATTCATTGCACTTTGCTGCTTTACCACATGACACCCAGGTTTGTCCACATTGGCTGCAGTTGTGACACTGCTTTAGCTAGGCCCTCGGGATTCATACCTGCGCCTAGTATAGTATGGCATTGAGGAAATGCCGTGCCGAATAACTTGTTTTTGACAGACATCCGAGAGAGGATTCAGAACAATTGAGCACCTTTTGCGGCCATTTGTCTTGGCCCGCTCGATCTCCTTTCCCTCGTGCATTCATCTTGGTCTGTTAATCTTTAAACCTGGAATTTTTATTGCTGTAGACGATCCTATATCTAGTTTCAATGTCGTGTTGTTGGCAAATTTGCCTTATTCAATTTTAGACCTTAATGAGACTCCGCAAACCTCCAAAGGAAAACCTTGACTCAGGATCTGAAACTCCTCTTATTCTGCTATGTTGAGAGCCACGTCTCTCTGAGTTGCCGACTGAACAAATGCATCAGTGTCATTGCTCTGCATCTATCACACTACGTATGCCCCTGGTATGTGTTTTTGTGCTCATGTAAGCAGCTATGCTGGCCGCAATCTTTCGCACCCTCGACGCGTATTATAGCCGCTGACTTTGTCGTTGGCGGCGCTGTAACTTACGCATATGTTCTTGGGCCGGCGGTCCTGAAATTGTTGGAGCCACATTGCGAACTGGCTCCGCGAGACTATTCTTGACTATTTCCTCAAGAGCTAACATCCTTTCTTCTGTGGTATGTTTCATCGTCTGCATCTCCTTTCAAGCTTTGTTGTGTGCAATGAAGGCCCTTACGGCGTCCGCGACGTCTTTCGTGGTGATGATAATGCCATCGTAGTCTTCATCTGGGTAAAAGGTCCTGAGCTTTTCTAGTAACTGCCTTGGGATATTAAGATCCTTATCTGACGGAGCTTTGGACGTTCTTCTGCCTTCGGATTGTTTGGCCTTTGTCGCATTTTGCGACGCGTCGAGACCGCTAGATCCTATCGAACCAGCACGAGCACCCACCATGTTGTAGTGCAGTGGATATTGAGACAGAGCGGGGGTAAACTAAATGGAAAAATACGATTGACGAAGTCAATTTGACGATAGAGGCGGCGTGGAATGCCGCGCAGCTTTTGATGAAAATAGTGTCTCGGCCGTCATATTTCGGATTTGGTTACGCTCGCAGAGTTGTCTGTCACTAGAATCGAAGGGTTTGATAATTTCAGGGGTATGGAATAAATTTAGAATTAAACCAAGACTGTTAATTTATTTTAACAAGATAGAGATTCACGAAAAATAACAAAAAGTTAAACCTTTAGAAGTCCATTCTGATGTTGTTGAGCTCTTACATCGGGTATAAGTTGTCAAATATCATCGTGTAACATAACTACTAGATATATAAAATTTCGAAGACAATTTATTGTTCTGCAAATAAAACCTTTAATTTGAAAGTTACCTCGTAATTGTCATGGTATACCATACATAAGACGCATACTAGCGTCTAATGTTCAAAAGTGTATGTACTCATCTCAATAGGAAATAATATTAACGTCGCCGATGTTTGCTCAGTGGGTTTGAATTGATGTGCAGCCTTGCGCAGCGTATCTGGCGCTTACACTTGGGTCAAAGAGTGTAGTGATAGAAAGTACAATCAGTGAGAGCAGTCTTTACCATGGCATATGCGCTGAGTGAATATTTCTATCATAGAAATCTGATTGCATGAAAGATTGAACACTTAAATGGCTGATAGTATTTCGGCCTTATCTTATATACCAAGTTGTCGGGTTTCCTATTTTAGTGAAAGTCTGCTCTCTGAGGTTAAAAGGCACTTAAATTTGTACGAGTCTGACGTTGTTGTACGATTGGATGGCTGTTCTCGGGTCACCAATTAAAACTGTAATGTCAATTGTGTAAGCCGTCAAGCGTGAGTTAGTGAAAATTTGTTGATCCATGGCACATTTGATGCTGAAAATTTTACTCCGCCCGACCTACCCAGGTACCTATGTGAATCACTTCAAAACCACTAAACCAAATATTCATGATTCGGAGATACGTTGGTAAAAAGTTCCTCAAAATGAACACCGGATCAGTGATGGAGGGAGTATTTGGTGAGAAAGTAGAAAATCGCATTCTGTTGAGGATGCTGACCAGTCGCAGCTGTGAACAAACCCAGCGGCATATCTTCTGCCCAAGTATTGCGGGACCTTCAGGAGCATTTCAACCCTTCGGATCTGTTTGCACCCTGGCTTATCCAAGAAAAAGACAAACGGGAACGAGAATCACACAACCAGCGAAGGCGCCGCCGCGAACAGAAAATCCAAGTTAAAATTGGCCATGGTGGAACATTAGATCCCCTTGCAACAGGAGTGCTCATAACAGGGGTCGGGCGCGGGACAAAGTCGCTTCAGGACTTTTTGACTTGTACAAAGGTTTATGAGACAGTGGTATTATTCGGTACAAGTACGGACACTTATGATCGAGTCGGTAAGGTCCTCACAAGGGCCCCGTACGAACACATTACAAAGGACTTGGTTGAGAAGGCGCTCGAGAAATTTCGTGGAAAGTTGATGCAGTTACCACCCCTCTTTTCTGCTTTGAAGATGAATGGGAAACCTCTATATGAGTATGCTAGAGAAGGAAAAAAAATTCCCAGAGAGATCGAAAGGAGGCCCACCGAAGTCCTAGAATTGGAATTGCTAGAATGGATGGAGGGAGGGACTCATTCTCATGTGGCTCCAACAGACGAAGCAGGATACGCTGAAATAAATATCGCAAATCAATTTTGGAAGAAAGAAGATGCGCTTCCAAAGGTAACCCCAACGGAGACCATCCAATCTTCTGAGGATGTAGATACTAAAGACAGACATAATAAAGTTTCATCTTCCCCTGATATAGAAAAGTCTAAAGAAGACTTGGAGTCAGCAGAGTATAAAATATTTGATCCATTAGTTCCAGAAGCTAGTGTAGAGTTTCAAACCTTCGGTGAGAAACCTCTTAATTTTGCCTATCAATAGTTAGTTTTCTGAAAACCCTATCCTCTTACCACCATTCGCCAAAAAAGTCAGGCTGAGGAAAATTGACAGCAAACTCTGATCTAACTTTTATACAGATACTCAATCCTTAGAGCATCAAAAACGCAAATTTGGTGAGTTCCAAGATGAGCTTGTAAAGGATAATCCATCGTCTAAGAAGCAACAAAATCCGCAATTATCCAACGCTCCAAGCCCTGTGATGTCTGGCGCTCTCTCTTCGGAATCCCTAATTGAGGCTGTATCCGACCAAATCAATAACATAATCCATGATAAAGATTATTCTACATCTCCTCCAGCTGCACGAATTCGCATGACAGTGACCTCTGGCTTCTATGTACGCTCTTTCTGCCATGATTTAGGTACTAGTGTTGGTAGTGTTGCAATTATGGCTGAGTTGGAGAGAACTCGCCAAGGCGAATACGAAGTTGGTAAGAACGTACTCGAGTATTCGGACCTTGAGCAAGGAGAAAAGTGCTGGGGCCCGAAAGTGAGAAGATGGTTAGAAGATTGGTCTAAAAATCACTCTAATGTTTCAAGTATCCAGACAACAACAGCAAAGAAGGAAAGTTCAGAATGCATTCCTGACTCAATAGAAAATATCAAGATGAGCAAATAGCAAGAATCCCCCTCGGAACCCATTGTGGAGAATAATAGTAAAGACGATAAAAAGAATGATGAGCTCAGTATTAATCCTATTGAGGAGCCACCTCTACCCCATAAGATCATTGGGAGTGAGTAAAGCATTCAATAAGTACACAACTTCCATGCGTATGGAGTAGCACACCGACAGAAAATGGGGTCATTTTATAAAAGAAATCTAGGTTGATATCATTTTTTGGGGAGGACTCTTATTCTGGCCAAAAGAATAATGAGCAGACACTTTTGTATACGTTTATCATTCTCTAAACACAAAAGATTAGCATTGTCACTGTACATATTCTAAGTAGTCTCTGGGTCTGGATAAGTCAGGATTAACAACTTTGTTGTGCGACGAGAAGTGTAAATCTAACTTTGTACATGGAAGTCTCTAAATCTTAATTTCGCTGAGATATTCCAAGCACTTGGTCCTTTGACAAACATAGCTTATAGAACACTAGATATCATATCAGAAATCGTGAGTAAGTATGATTCTAATTTATGCAGACATTCGTTACCGTCTAAGGGCAGTATTTCACCTACTCATCTAAACTAAGCTATTAAGGCCACATGACCTTCCTATCACTACATGGATTTCATTCGCAGCAGTAGGGCTCTAAAGTCAACATTTACAATTTAATACCGTGTCCCACACATCTTTTTTAAGATTTATTGGTTAATTATTAATTTAAGTAGGCTTGCAAGTAGCTCAGCCTGATATTGCGCATGAAACTGAATGTAAAGTGCGGCTTTGAACAACAAACCAAGAAGACACATACAGAGGTAGTAAAATATATGGCATACCAAGAGTGAGCGAAATCCTGGCCCAAGCAGAAACAAACTCGGAATCGTCAGCAGTTAGCATCTGCAGATCCCGAAACTTGGAGAGCAGCCAAATTTTATCAGAGTCGAGAGTCTGGACGGCAAAAACCGAGTTTTCAAGACTCACCATTCTTCCTACACCGTAACCTGACAAGGGCCCAAAGCAGTTTGGCAATGCAAATACGAAGTGAGCACATGGAGCTTAACTCGTATTCACACAGAAGAAAAGTACCGGCAGTATTAAGTCCAGGTTGTCCATGCGGCTACCAATCACAGAAACCCAAGCATATGATTATGTCCTGCCCCCGATGGTCAAATGGTAGAGCTGAGATCTGGAGACAAGTTAAAGATCGATCCTTCGAAGCGATGATAAGCAATCCTGTAGACATCAAAAGGATAACACAGTGGATCCTAAACCATGGTTGGATAGAGCAATTCCAGTTGACAAAGGCGGTCGAAATGCTGCTGAGGGAAAGGAAAAGGTCAAATAATGCTTGGGGCGATTAGAAATAATCTGGTAGGTTTACATGGATGGCACTATAGTGTAACTGCGCTTCCTGAAGAAATTATGTGAGAACTATAGACAACAAGTAGAAAGGTGTGGGGGGTTTTCACCGTAAAGGTTTCCTCCCGCGTAAATATTATATACTGTAAACACCTGCATGGGCCCATAGGGCGCCAAATCAGGTCAATGAAATCAAATTCAATAGCGCGGCTTTACAACTCATGATCACTAATGAAGTCTTCTTGTACGTGTCAAGATTTTTTGTTACGAATCGTACATATATTTTCTAATTTTGGAAGAATCACATCTTATTTTTTGCATCAGATTTTAATTGCGTATGCAGCTATTTAGCTATGACACAATATCAAAGAAAAGTACAGAATAGATGATTCAACGTATGGGAAGAGCACTCATGCCTCGGATTTCATTTGCAAGTACCACTGCGAAGTTATGGCGGCTTTTTCTTCACCCCAAGTCAACCCTCATCCGTGAATACCCAGCCAGGGGATCGTATCAAGAACTCTCAGTTATCCAGACATGCCTCCATCATCTTTCAACTTTTCTCCGCGCGAAACATGGTCTGAGTGTCTCCTTCCCAAGTGAAGTAGGTGCCCAGGCTACTCAAATTATACCAGAGAACACCATCAGGAGGCAGACCACGGCACCTTGCATCATTGACTTGTGTGTAGTGTGAGCTGCACTCTCGCAAGCGAAGTCTTGGCGCGCACAAAGCCCAATTCGTAAAACTCCTTGCCAAAATTCGGAATTTCACGCCCGTCGAGGTTAATTTCCTTCCTCTGCATCATCTTGTAGACTTGTCCTGATCTCTCTCATGTCCATCCCAAAGAACAGTCTCCCAGATTTGTGCGCCACGCTTTGCTTCCTCCGTCGGGTGTAAATATCGGCGTGGGCGTGTATTTGACGACCAGCTAAGGTCAGACAATAGTCGACGAGTGGTGTGGTCATTGGATTGAGGATGTACTTGGTCGTACTTGTAGATTTGATAAGACTTAGGTTGGATTCAAACTTTTTGAGAGTGAATATTTGACGTGGTTGAGTAATTTGGATCGTTGCCTCGTGGGCCAACTTCTTTGATATTGCGAAATTCGACTGAACTTGGGTCTGGGAGAATACTTCACTCCCAGGTTCGTAGAGGACACCGCGTACAGATGTTCTGTTTTGCCCTCTACAATATTTCTCTATAAACCACATATCACCCTCCGTATATTATCTCCCCTGTAACTCTACTTCCTCAATACCCTAACACATATTTTTAACACATAAAAATTTAAGACTAATTTTGAGTTTTGAATTTGAATTTGATTTCATTGACCTGATTTGGCGCCCTATGGGCCCATGCAGGTGTTTACAGTATATAATATTTACGCGGGAGGAAACCTTTACGGTGAAAACCCCCCACACCTTTCTACTTGTTGTCTATAGTTCTCACATAATTTCTTCAGGAAGCGCAGTTACACTATAGTGCCATCCATGTAAACCTACCAGATTATTTCTAATCGCCCCAAGCATTATTTGACCTTTTCCTTTCCCTCAGCAGCATTTCGACCGCCTTTGTCAACTGGAATTGCTCTATCCAACCATGGTTTAGGATCCACTGTGTTATCCTTTTGATGTCTACAGGATTGCTTATCATCGCTTCGAAGGATCGATCTTTAACTTGTCTCCAGATCTCAGCTCTACCATTTGACCATCGGGGGCAGGACATAATCATATGCTTGGGTTTCTGTGATTGGTAGCCGCATGGACAACCTGGACTTAATACTGCCGGTACTTTTCTTCTGTGTGAATACGAGTTAAGCTCCATGTGCTCACTTCGTATTTGCATTGCCAAACTGCTTTGGGCCCTTGTCAGGTTACGGTGTAGGAAGAATGGTGAGTCTTGAAAACTCGGTTTTTGCCGTCCAGACTCTCGACTCTGATAAAATTTGGCTGCTCTCCAAGTTTCGGGATCTGCAGATGCTAACTGCTGACGATTCCGAGTTTGTTTCTGCTTGGCCCTAATTTTGAGTTTTAATATAACACTTAATCTTCTCTGAGGCATAATGATGGAGGAGGTTTGAAAGAGGCTAGGAAGTTAGAGACTGACTTTACTAGCTACGCAATGATCCAAAGTATCTCGTCTTTTTTAACACTCTAGCAGCGTAGCTTTGATTTCTGGCTGTTCTATTCTAGATCTTAGGAAGTCCTGGTGTCATATAAATTCTGCAATTATTCAGAGCAACTATCACCAGCAAACGGCTCCGGTTGAAGTTGGACTTGCTAGAGTACTTGGGGGTAGCCTGGTATTGGAAATGATGCTTAGTCAGCTAGGTGATTCGGCTAAGCCCCCTCACCCTCTGCATTTAACACACATATTTTTTCGTATTTTTACTGCACTACTATAAATATTCCCTATATACTTTATCTTACCATCCATATATTCTCGCCACTGTGAACTCACTTTTTCAATAATCCTAACAGGTTATGAGCCTGGTGTTCAACAATACATCAACTTCTGTCAAAATATCAGCGAAAATGTTTTCATCCACTAGAGGATTAAAAGACCATGATAACCACAATGGTATCCCCCATTATAAATCCGACTGGTAGAACATTGTAATCCTAGGACTCAGCACATATATTGATTGGCGCATTACCTGTGAAATGGCTTTGATAAATGCGGGGGCACTTGGTATTGCTGATGGCTTATGAAAGAGACCATTCAGCACTGACACGATGAACATCTCTAGCCCAAACACTCGGGCCTTTTCATCCAGTAGCATTCACAATCAAGAATCATCTAGCATAACAGACTCTGAGTTTTGTGTGCAGGAAGAGAGATGGTTGTCCAAAGCGCGGCAGGCGCAAATAATAATATCAAACTCAATTGAGACTCAATTAATGGAGCAGTCCCTTGAGTTCGTGAGAAAGATGAACCCTGCTGGGCTATGGGATTTCCTCCAACAGATGGACCCAAATAAAGATCCAAAAAACATCGCAGAATTAAGGTCCAAGTTTACTTCAGTCAAGCTTGACTCGTCAAAAGATACAAAACAAGCAATAGTCGTACGCCTTAATAACCTGAAAGGTAAGCTATCAATGACGTCCCGATCAGTAACTGAAGAAGATATGAAAGAACTGTCGGTAAATGGATCGTATTTGGGCAGTATGAATTGTTCTATCTAATTGCGGTATTCGAGTTGTCGTTAGAACACTGACAGGGATCTGACTTAGCTCATTAGCGAGGCACTTGGAGTAGAAGAAGAAAGGGCAGAGGGAGAAAAGAAGAAGAGACAACGTTTTATGTATTTCGAGATACCAGTTAATTGACATTATTCACCGACTTCGTGACGGCACCCAATTTGTATTACTTCGTGTTTTACCTACAAGAACAATTGATTGCGTCTCTCCCAAAGGACAATTCAGCATGGTCTACTGCGCGGCTACAAGCACTAAATATGGGTAAAATTCTCGCCGAAACGACCATCTATCTTCAATCTTGTGAGTCGAGCATAAGTAACAACCAGCTCCCTCAAGTATCGACAGCTAATTATGTACACGGTAACTTTAGCAAAAGAGGAAGAGGTAAAAACCGAAGTAGGCATCATACATATAACTCTAGTCGACGTGATAATGCTCGTGGAGGTCCGAGA